TACGCAACATTCGTGTAAACTCCGGGAAACTCAGGTTCAGCACATTTATGCCCCCAAGAAACAATTCCAACGAGTTTGCCCGTCTCACTGTCTACCAGCGGCCCACCGGAGTCACCCTTTGAAAAAAGAGAAAATAAATTACGATGCAGGAAATAAGATACTGTACTAGATTTTAAAAAGGGTGGCTTGTAACAAAAAATCACGATTACTCGCTGATTGCTGCTAGAAATTCTTTAGAAAACGTTCGTTACGAATTTTCCTCAAAATCTGGGTTCGGCACGTCATATTATACCAACTTTTTCACCGTTTGGTGGAAGTATTTGGAAAAAATTACGAATGTTTTAGAAGTTTGGGACGAATTTTCCTCTGTAGTTTACCAAATGAAATTCAAAGATTATTTGTATTGTAACACTGACTAAATATCTTTCATTATACAGTTAATGTAAACAAACTTGTCAAGCTGAAACATTCCATTCCGGAAAACTTCTTACTGGGTAACGCAATCATTCTCTCGAATAGCACAACTGAAGACCAATAAGTTATGCTCAAATCATCCTTTTCATCCGCATGAAAAATAAAGGAACTACAAAAATCCTCTAATCAATAAATGTCACTGCTGCATCAATGTTCAGAAAATGATCCAGGCATGGGTTCTCGCTTTTACAATTTTGGGCTGTCTCTTTTAGTTTTAAAATATCGAATTTTTTCTTCCAGTTCCATTCACGCATGCATAATTTCAATTAGGGTTATTTGTGCAGTAGGGTTGGTGTATAAAACTGCTTGGGCACATTTATGAAACAGAAGTTAGGCCATCTCTGATAACTACTTATTTTTTCATATCCGTCGCCTAATATTGCGTTAATCATTGAGAGGTGATTCTCCAGAAAAGCATACTTGTTTCATAAAATTCGGTCATCAGCGTGTAATTTTTCAAATCCATAGAAATGTGCTTGTTAAGATGCACAAGTCAGAGCTGAAACAGTTTTATTATTCAAGAACTTACTTCGCATGTATCAATTCTTTCGTCAGTTCTGCCAGCACAAATCATATCGTCAGTGACTTGAAACGGCACAGTCACATAGTTTTCTCTGCATGTCTTCAAATCCACGTATTCCACGATTCCCCACTGCAACTCATCCGGCGTTTCATCGCTTTCGTATTGAAGTGTACCCCATCCCATAATGAGGTACGGTGTGTCTAGAACATCGTTGGCAGCTTATTATTCCTTTCTTATGGATATTTTTTATTTATTTATAAAAAATATATGTATCACGCACCAGTTGACGGCTCATCGAATCTCGAAGGGAGCGGAATTGGTGAGACATGTTCGTTGAAAATCAGCGGGGCGTCGAGTTGCAGCAGACAAATATCATTTAAATTCGAGAATAGACTGAAAAAGTCGAACAATTACTTTGGATGAGTGAAGTTGAGGGATTCGGTGTGTA